GATCTCGGTTCACTGCAACCTGAGCCTCCTGAGTTCAAGCAATTCTCCTGCCTCAGCCTCCTGAGTAGCTGGGACTACAGGTGCGTGCCACCATGCCTGGCTAATTTTTTATATATATTTTTTAGTAGAAATGGGGTTTCACCATGTTAGGATGGTCTTGATCTTCTGACCTCATGATCCGCTCACCTCGGCCTCCCAAAGTGCTGGGATTACAGGAGTGAGCCACCGTGCCCGGCCCTCATTTGATTCTTACAACAGTCCTCTAGAGTTGACACATGAGGAAACTGAAACTTAGAGCAATACAACAACTTGTCCAAAGGTCACCCAGCTGATAAGAGGCAGAGCCAGGCTTTGAAACCAGGTGCTTCCAGCCCTAAAGCCTGCATCCTTTCTTAACCAGTAAGCAAACTGCCCTCACTTACTTATCCACTTCGATGATAAACACACGAGAAGAGCTCTGCTAAATTAAAAGCAGATTGTTTTACGAGGGAAAAATGGGAAAGAAAGACCATTTAGGAATGGTTTCCAATGGAAATAAATCTCCACTTCTCCCACTCTCCTCCCACCATGCAGCTCTTCCGTGCATTTCTTAAATTAAGGTGTGCGGATGTGTACAAACAAATTCCACAGTTTCGTTGATTGGTTGATTTGGTTGATAACAATGGTGAATTGAGAAAGAGATGGAATACAAATGGTCAAGGCCTCCTGGCTGGCCACCTGTCATCTACCTTATACTGACCTTGGAGCCCAGAATCCAGTTCATCTAACCGCTTGTCCCCATCTGTGTCCAGAATGTCCACCAGGGTGAGGCCATCGTGTAGTGCCGGCATCCAAAGACAGTTCTCTTCTCCTCCGCCAGATGGAAGCAGTGGACTCTATCAGCATCAATGAGGCTTCTAACAGCAAACATATCCCCTCCAGCATCCATCTCCTTAACTACAATTCTTGTGATTTCCTCAAATATGCTGAACATTGCACCTGGACTGACTCGGAAATAGAAGCCAATTTCAGTTTTTGGAAGGAGGGTATTGGTTCAAGTATTTAAATCTTCCACATTTGGCAGCCTGAGGTGTCAGGCCTCTGAGCCCAAGCTAAGCCATCATATTCCCTGTGACCTGCACATATACATCCAGACGGCCTGAAGCAACTGTGTGGTAACCAAGAGAGTTGTAGAGAAATGCCACACTACGAGACTCATTCAGGAGTCCTTTATTGCCGGCGACCGAGAGACGGCTAGCACTCAAAATTTTCTCGGCCCCGAAGAAGGGGCTAGATTTTCTTTTATCCTTTGGTGTAGAAAGGGGAGGGGGAGCCTCACTGAAGCAATCTTACAGAAGTAAAACAGGCAAAAAAAGTTTAAAAAGACAAATGGTTACGGAAAAACAAACAGTTCCAGGTGCAGGGGCTTTAAATCTATCACAAGGTGATAGACATGAGGGCTTTGGGTACCATCAACCGGACACAAATGTGGGGGCTTAGGGTACTATCAACCAAATGAATTCCTGGGAACTGCGGATATAGCTTGCCACGGTATCTTATCAGTTAATTGCATTCTTGGATGTGCTGGGAGTCAGCTTGCACAAGTTAAGTCCTTGAGGAAGGGAGGTGGGTAAGGGGCAGCAAGTGAAAGAGCCAAAATGGAGTTTGTCTGGCTCTCTCAGCTAAGGGAGAGTCAATTCAGGTTAAAACAAGGTAGGGTATCACAACTGAAGATCCACAAAAGAAGTGAAAATAGCCTTAACTGATGACACTCCACCATTGTGATTTGTTCCTGCCCCACCCTGATATGATATAGTCTCCCCTGCCCTTAAGAAGGTACTTTGTAATATTCTCCTGCCCTTGAGAATGTACTTTGTAAGCCTATCCCAAGCCAGTAAGAACTAATGATAATCCCACCACCCTTTGCTGACTCCTTTTTCGGACTCAGAGCACCTGCACCCAGGCGAAATAAACAGCCTGGTTGCTCACACAAAGCCTGTTTGGTGGACTTTCTTCACACAGACACACATGACATGAGGTCAGGGAAGAACCAAAGGTTTCAGGACAACCACTACCTGGAATGATTTGCCTGCCTTACTTCTAGAAGGTGAGGCAGCCATGACTCAGTAAAGAGGGCTAAACATCACAGATCCCAGATTCTCCTCTGCCCCTCATGAAACCCATCTGGAGGAAAAAAGTAGCAGCTACTGTCCCAAACAGGGAAAGTGAGACCCATTTTCTACATCTCCCTCTGCAGAGTTGCCCCCTTGTTCCAAGGGGCCTGAGGGATGGAAAGGCAGGCCCACCACGCCCCAGCCAGATTAGCGCCAACGTTGACGAACAGAGGAACCACAGACGGATGAGGGGCACGATTGCCAGACTTCACATTACTAACCTCAACTGGTCGTTTCTTCCCTTGGCTCTGATTCTTGGGCTCCCTGCCTTGCTGTATTCTGCAAGGCAGTCGGATGGGTGCCTCCCTACCAACAATTTCCCAATGAGGTGGTGGTAAGTTGGCCTCAGAAGAAGCAAAAGCTTCCTGGGATCCACTTCCCCATCCTACCTTTGGTCACCTTCCCCTACATCCCTTCTGCCTGTTCCAGGCACTTATCCACTCACTGCTTCCTTCTCTGTCTCTGCCCCCATCATGGTGGTTGACTCTCAATTCACCACCACCCTGGGAATTCCAGGTGTCTGGAAAGACAGTACCCGGGAACCACAGGCCCATCTCAAGTGGTACCCACCTCCTCTCTGACCTCAGCTATTCACCAGAAATGGAAGTTGTGAGAATCCCCGCTGCAGATCTCTGCACAGTTCCTGGCCTCTGAATCTCAGGAAGCTAAAATAATGAAATTGAAAGTTGTCCAGGTGTGGAACTTCCTGGACGGGTGGGTATGGCTGGGTGCCCCACCTCCCAAGCCCTTAGATAAGCCATGTTATAACTAAGCTGGAGGCAGATAAGGTCAGAACCTCTTCTTCTTGGACCCAAGCAGTGCATAGGAGATCCTGATATGTATTCTAGGTGAGTTTGGGCCAGACAATGGTGCACACCACGGCGCCCTGGGCCATGCAATTCAGTGTGTTTGGAATAGAGAAATGGAACATGAGTAGGTATCAAGCGCCAGCAGGCAATGGCTATGTCTGTGCCAGGGACATGAGGACTGTAACCCAGCAGAACCAGCTGCCCAAATGCCAGGCGATGGTCAACACTGAAGACCCGGGACAATAGCAGCTAACACCTGGAGGGAACAGGGTGGGCCTGTAAGGAGCACTCAGCCTCCCTCCCCATCCGTGCTCCTGTGTACACTCTCAAGGAGATGATGCTCTTCCTTATCTGGATGCCACCCAGCTTCTCCACCTACCTCCTTCTCCAGGGAGAGGCCTCTGGCCTCACCCGTGTCCTCTCTCAGAGATAACCACCCTGGTGAGCCCAGCCTGTCTTCCGGCCTCTGCATGCCTCAGTTCTGAAAGAACATTTGAAGGGATGACAGAGGCCAGGCATGGTGGCTCACACCTGTAATCCCAACACTTTGGGAGGCTGAGGCAGGCGGATCACTTGAGGCCAGGAGTTCAAGACCAGCCTGGCCAACATGGCGAAACCCCGTCTCTACCAAAAAAAAAAAAAAAATTAGCCAGTTGTTGTGGCACACACCTGTAATCCCAGCTACTCAGGAGGCTGAGGCAGGAGAATCGTTTGAACCTGGGAAGCGGAGGTTGCAGTGAGCTAAGATGGTGCCACTGCACTCCAGTCTAGGTGACAGAGCAAGACTCAGTCTCAAAAAAATAAATAGAGATGACAGTGGTGATAGTAACAATTATAATAATAATAATATGGCTACCATATATTATTTACTATATGCCAGGCACAGTACTAATGCTCACAACAGCCCTAGGAGGCATTATCCTTACACAACAGTGGAAGAAACTGAAGCTCAGAGAAGTTGACACAGCAACATGGCTAACAAGTGGCAAAGCTGGGATTCGAATCCAGATCGTTGTTGATGTTCCCCAGCACCTCACCCTGACTGTACTCTTGCAGGCTGGTGAAAGCAACCAGGGCACCCCTACTCCCAGGATGAGACCAGTGGCTATATTTCTCTTTCCAATAATGTGTGGGCTCTACTGGGAGAGGGCCGGTGGCTGGACTTGAGCAAATATCCCACATCCCTGACACTCACTCCAAGGGTGCTGTGATGGCAGACCAGGGACAGAGACCCCAGGCTGCTGGGGGCAGCCCCTCCCTTCTATCTGGGACTTTGTGCCTCTCCTGAGAATAGCAGCTCATACTGCGCAGAACACGCTGGAAGGTCAGTGCCCTCGTGAGATAAGGATTCCTTGCTATAGGACTCCTCTCTCCTAGCCATAGTGGCCTCAGAAAGTCCCCAGAACCTCTTCCCCTGCCACTCAGGCTTATGGTGGGAGCAGGAAGTATGAAAAGTCCCCTCCACTGAAAGGCCAGAAGGAAACACAGCGCTCCCAGGGGAGAGGTGACTGGGGAAAGGCCTTGGGGAGAGAAGTGAGAAACTGGAGAAGGGCTGGGGATTTACTGGGAAGGACTGGGCACCGCTTGGGACCCTGGTTCCATGTGTAAACCATTGCTGGACTGCCCCCCTCCCTGGCCATGGCACAGGTCACCCCCGCCTGTGGGGCCAAGGCGCAAGACCAGTCGGAGAACAGCCAGGCAAAAGCACAGAGAATTTTGCTCTCTGACTACTGCTGCCGTGGCCGCCAGTTCCCTCACAGCCCCCTTGGGGGATTTCCCTGCTGAAGCCAGCAGAAAGCCCAGCAGTCCCAGCGCCCCTCCCGCCACCGTCAGAGCTGCACTGATACCCCACCAGCACCTCAGCCGGAGCTGTGCCCACACCCCTGCCCCCTCCCTCAGCCTTCCAGGAAGCAGAGGCCAGACACAGGGAAACAGGAACATGTTGCCCTTTTATTTGCGTTTCTCAGAATACTGTACAAAGGGAGTAAAAATCCTATTCACACTTTGCTTAGAAAGATTTTAAGGTGAAAGTTCCCTATGATACATGGGGTGGGAGATGCAGGGCCAGGAGGCAGAAAACAGGCCCAGTGACCTCTCCTGCTCCCTCAGGCCCCTGGAAGAGGACACAGGGACCCACGCCTTTTCAAAATTAACACTGTCCCTAGTCGAACTGGGGAGGGAGGAGGCCCCGGCCCAGGCTCAGGCTCCCGCCCTCACTTTCTTCTCTGCAGGCTGAGACGGTGCCTACAGGCCACGCCTTGCTCCTTCCTCTGTGCTGCTTCAGCAGGGATCCTACAGGACTCTCACCACCGACCCCACGTGGGGTGGCCTCACAGCGCCACATGTGCCTGCCACATAAGAGGCCCTGCCCAGTGCCAGTCTGCATGAGGAAGCTAAGGGGTGAGGGCCTGCAGAGGACCACAGCATCCATTGTTTCTGTCACAGCTTCCCCGTACCCCTGTGGGAGTCAGGGCCAAGTTGGACCTGGGCTTACAATGACTCATGGGCCTTTTCCCCACCTGTCCACCCAACAGCCAACCCAGGAGTTAAGCCCACAGCAGCCTCCCTCCCCTATTACTATCACATTCTGTGGGTAAATCAACCCTCCAAGCCTGCTTCCCTCCCTGCCCACATCCCAAAGGAGACTGGGTCTACCTTGTGTCCCTACCCCTCCCTCCCTTACACCAGTCCTCTGCTGCTATGTGGCCCCATTCTTCTAAGTCTCGACTCATTAACCCCCTACAGCTCCCCAACCTCCACCAGGCCAGGATGGCAGCAATCCTGGCCCCTCACCTCTGGGACCAAGCCATCCACACTCCACCCCATCTCCCCCAACCTGACGCTCCCCACTCCCACCCAGGACCCCGGGTGCGCTGCAGGGAAGCTGCCAGAAGCCTGAGACTTGGATCAGACAGCTCTCTACCCAGAAGGGCAAGGCCCCATCCCACACTTGCTTCCATACACAAAAGCACACACTGCGTGTCATCGAAAAAACCTAGGAATCACAGTGACACAATCCAGAAGCCGTACCGCCCTCTGCTCCCTTCACAGGGGTTAAAGTGCTTTGGCTGCCTGAGGGCAAACAAGTGAGCAGGGGTTTTTCCCCTGGCCTCCTGTCCCAACTGCGTGGTCCATGTTCAGCCCAGGAGCCAAGCCCATTCCATGACCACCTCCATGGAGTCTCTATTCAAAAAGCAAAAGGAAAAGATCAAAAACTTCAGAAAAAGTCAGAGCCCGGGGGGCCTACCCCAACCCCACTACAAGCTACTCCAAGTTGGCTACTGGGGGAAGCCAGGGGGGAAACTAGGCCCAGAGGCTCAACCCCCATCTCTGGCAGTGTCCAGAGGCTTCTTCTTTCTGTCTTCAGTGTCGCAGCACATGCCTTTTACCCTACCCCTCCCCTGCCACCCTGGGCAGGGGAAGGGGCTGCACCCTCAGTACTTATTGATTCCAAAAATCCGGACTCCGTGGAGCTGGGGCAGCTTGGGGATGAGCACGCTCATCAGAGACACAGTGTTGAGGACGAAATGGATCTGGTCGTACTTAGTGTAGAAGCTGGTGAGGAAGTACCTGGGAGGGGAAGGGTGAGGAGAGAGATAAAAGACTGTTGGGAGGACCCCTTCCTCCCTCACTTCCTGTGTAGGGAAAGGCAGAATCCTGACGGCTAAGGAGTTACAGAAGAGGTCCCCAGACCAGAGTAAGAAGCAAGAGCTCTCAGGCTAAAGAGGCCCCTCCTGGCCCAGCGGGGCCCCCACCTCCCAACTTCACCCCAAGCCTGTGGGCCTATCTCACTAGCAGGAAGAAAGCTCCAATGGAGGAAAGACGGGGCCAGGGAGGCCCAAAGCCTGAGCTCAGTCTAAGACCCAGGAATATTCCAACTTCCTCTGTTCATCCCTACACCAGGAGCCACAGCAGGGTTAATAAGCATGACTGGGCCCTGGGGTCCTCTAGGCCTTGCCCTGCCTGCTGGTGTCTTCCTGTAGCCCAGGCACTCACAACACGATGGGTGTGATGGTCAAGAACTTCCGAGAGGCCGTGAACTGGACCCCATAGTCCATCTGCTCCCAGTGGGTTAGCAGCCTCGCCTTGCCCTGGTCCGGGGTCTCAAAGGGTGTCCCCTTCACCGTGTGCAGGAAGATATACATGCCCTGGAGGACGAGGTCTTTGTTAGAGGATACAAAAGGGAAAAGGCCCCCCTGCCCAGTTCCTCCACCCAGTCACAGACAGAAGTAACTCCCAGTGATCTGGAGCCTCCCTCTGCTGGGCAGGGGGATATGGGCTGGAGGTCAGGAAGAAGCAGGGAGCCTGGCAGGAGAAGAACAAGGGGACTCCCTGGGGGACAGGCTAGGCCTGGCATGAGAATGCGTAGCCACGAGACAGGCACCGAGATGCTGCCCCTCCAGGCCACTCATAGCCCCCTGTGCCTGCTGGGAGGAGGCAAGCAGATGGGACTAAACCCTGCTTACCCTCCAAAGAGGGCAAGGTAGCAAGTGGTGAGGGAGCAGAGAAGGGCAAGAGTAGAAGACGGTTCGAGAAGCTAACTTGAGAAAGGGGCATTTCTGTACCAGCCTAGGCACCAGGACTCCCGGGTCCTAGGAACTCTCTGGAGTCCTTTGTTTAGCTCTCAGGGGCACATCTTCCAGGCCCACAGCCACCCCACCCGAGAGTTGTGGAAAAATCTGCAGATTTGATTCCTATCATGGTACACAGGGCAGGAACCCAGAAGGGGGAGCAAGGCAGAGAGATAAGGACTAGGCCTGGGCTCTGGAGGCAGACGTCAGTACGTCACCCTGACATCTGGGCCAGGCCCAACAGGCTCCTCCTATCCCTCAGCCCTGCCAAAGAGCAGCCCAGAGGGCAGGAGCAGGCAGCAGGCAGGCTCTCACCATGTTGTGGATGAGGTTGGTGAGGGTCCAGACGACAGGCACACTCACGAAGGGGATGCTCAGCAGCACAACGTGGAGGAGACCGATGGCCAGCACGTAGGAGAGCCAGATGCCGCGGCTGTTCATCACCCGCGTGTTGGGGTTCACCTCGCTGTGCGCTGTGCCCACATTCATCCTGCTGCCCCTCTCCACTGTTCTGCAAACAAGCCGCACAGGTCAGACAGGTCACACTGCTTTCCCTGCCCCCTCTCACCCTCGGATCCCACTGGGAGGCAGGCTCTTCCCTCCCTGAGAACTGCAGGCAGTCCCACTCTTTTGATTCTCAAGCATGGAAGGTGGAGAAAGTCCATGTGGACTTAGCTCTACGCATTTCCTGCTGCTGGGCTGGGATAAACAGCAGGCTGCCCCACGCATTATCCCATTGGGACAGGGCCCTGGCAGGGCATCGGAGGACAGGTCGTCAAGAGGCATGCAGCCCCAGAGCAGAGAAGTCAAGGCCCATCCCCCAGCCTCACCCGCTATGGCACTCCCATGAGGACCCTCTGCCGACAAAGCCCCAGAGACAGAATTCTCACTCAGCACAACCCCTGCTGGACTGTGTCTCACTGAGGGCCTGATGTGGGACATCCACTCTTAAGCCCTTCCCATCAGGAGGGAAAGAAGTGAGGCCTGTGGGTACAGGCAGCAGTGGATGAACTATTTTGAGGTCACTGCATCCACTCACCTCCTCTAATTTTTTCAATTCTGGATCTCCCCAAACCCCAACTTAGGAGGACTGATCAGGTACAAAGAGGGAAGTGGGGAGGGAGGAAGATAGAAGAAAACAACAGACTAGCGACAACCTTTGCCCAGACCTGGAAGGCACCCCTCCTGGGTGACACAAAATAACCCATCTGGATGTTTTCTCCATTTGGCAGCCACTAAGGCCAACCCTTGTGGTGCCACCCACTCCGCTGCCAAACCACCAGGGTCCTTTTCCCCACAAGAGAGGCGAGGATAGAGAATGTGGCCAACACCTGTAACTCCCACAGAGAGCTGGAACCCACATCAACATATGTCTCCCAAGGGCACAGACTCGAACCTGTGGTCTTCCTCCTGGCCCCGGTCTTCTCTGTCCTGCTCATCCTCACCTCAGTCTCCCCTCTCAGCACCTGTTTCCAGGTGTACATTAGCACCATGCCTTCCCCTGCCCAGCACCAACGGTGGGAGTCCTGCAGCAGGAGGAACCAGGAGGTGGCCGCAACCCACAGTGAGCAGAGGGAAGTAGAGAAGGAAGGGGCGGAATGATCTGCCCCTTGTCCAGAGCTTGGCTGTCCCCAGATCCCTGAGGGCCCTGTGACCAGGAGAAAACAGAGACAGATGGCACCTGTGTACTGGCTCACCTCCCTATCTGAGGTAGGGTCCTGCTTGCTAAAGACCATAAGATCATCACCATGTTAACAGCCCCATCTTTCCTGGGAATGCAGAGAAGACTCCCAGATAGAGATATTCTAGAAGTACCCAGAAGGCCGCCTGCCTCACGCCCCTGCAGCAACCCCCTCAGACCCAAATGCTATCTACTTCTGACTAGAAACTAGCCAAACCTGCACAGGAGCCTGAATCCTCAGGGGCCAGTTCTTTACTTCCAGGATAAGAGGAGCAAGTTTCCTCTTCTCAGACAGCTCCAAGCTTAGAGACCTCAGGGCAAACGTGACCCACAACACACCATCCCAACAAGCAAACACCTGTGCGCCAGCCTGGGGCACACTCTGATTGCAGGGATGCTCCTGGGACCCATCAGTGCAGCCCATGAGGCTGGATAATGGAGCCTAACAGAAATCCTAGCATTTAGAAAGCCAGAGCTGGCTCCCACTGTTTATCTTCCCAGGGCCTTGGGGCTTCAGCTACTCTAGCAGCCCCTGGGACAGCTACTACGCAAAAGCCTTCACCTGAGACGAGAGGGTGGCATGTGGCTGAGAAGTGAGGGCTCTGAAGGACTTACCTCTAAGAAGAGGGAAACAGCGTCCCAAGTCTGACCTGAAACCGCCACCCCATCACCTCTCTGTAACCCACACCTACAGAGGTGCTGGTGTAGAAAGCCCACTAACCCTTCCTAGTAGTTGTCCAAGAGTGCCAAAAGCCTCGTGGAATCCCAGACCACAGGACCCCACACCCCTTTCTGGCTTTCACAGGGCAGCCAACAAAATTCGATGAGCCTAGGAAAAGACTAGACCTAGGTCCCAGCCGACACCCCCAAAAGTTTCTTCCTGAAGCCTAAACACTAGGTACCCTGAGAGCAGGAAACCACCAGACACCCCTGAAAAAGAAGAGATCAATAAACTAACAAAAAGACTGGCAGCCAGGAAACACTCTTGAGACTTTCATGTGACTACGGGCACATATCACTTCCATTAGTAAACCAACCAACCGACCCCTCCCCTAGATGGGGAGAAACAGAGAGAAGAGGCTGGCACAGGTCGACTAGGTCTACAGGAGCTGAGCTAAAAACTTCTGCTGCCACAGCTGGCAGGTGGCTGCTTAGTGCCGGGCCCTGATGTGGTTTCATAACCTGCCTCAAACCAGAGCCTGCAGCAACTCTGTTCTGTTAACCACTTTTTTGCTGGTAGCTCTTTCCCCCTTCTTCCCTCCCCACCCGCTTGGCTCCACGCACAAATATTCGGGCCCAGCCAGTATGCCAGACACTCAAGCCAAGGCTGAGCACCACCAGGGCAGCCACCAGGTGAGCCCTTCCCATTCCCTCCCCCAGGAAAGAGCAGCCCTCACAACAGCAAACCCCCTGTCTTGGAAGAGGAGCACAAAACATCCGGGCCTGGATGGGGACCTCAAAGGGGAGTCCGTGGCAGCACGTCACGATGCCACTTCCATTCCGCCCACCCCCCAAGCTGCAGGACCACAGCTGATCACATCTCAACTTTGGCCCAGCCACCCCGACTAGGGGAGGGCGGTGGGAGCGGAAAGCGAGTGCCCAGGCGAACCCGCAGTAAGCAGAGGAGAGGAGGAGCGAAGAGGCGGAGTCCTCACTGTTGTTGAGGTTTTCTGAGTGAGACCTCGGGCGCGGGGCCGGGGGGAGGGGTCCCGCTCTGTTGCCCAGTCTGGGTCCTGGCACTCGGAACCCGGCCAGGTCCGGGACCCCACAGCCATCTCCACGCGTTCACCCAGCCCTGGAGGCAGCCAAACGTTTATCCCAGAAGCCCAGCCACTCCCCGCCTCCCACCCCTAGCCGAGGCGCTCCTCCCGACGTTCCACCCCCGGCCTCCAGCTCGCACTTTATTCCTTGGCCACCTCCCCAGCCGCTGCACCCCCTCGGCTGATGCACTCCCTCTACCCCCAACTCCCTCTGCCCCCGTCTATCCAGCCCGGGGCGCCTCCCCAGCAGCTCCTACCTTCCCTCCCGCCCCTCCCCTAGCCCTGGGGCCTCCTGGTTCCGTCTGTACTCACCGTGCGGGGCCGGATATCGAGGGCCCGGGAACGGTTCCCGGGAGCGGGGTCCGCTGCTGCTCCAGCAGCTGTAACAACCCGCGGCGGCAGCCTCCCCGCTGGCAGCTCCGGCCGAATCAGCGCTCCGCGCCGGCCCCCGCGACGTCACCGCCCCGCGCCGGCACGCCCGACGCCTCCTGGGAGTTGTAGTTTCCTCTGCTGGTTCCCGGCCGGCCCGCCCGACGCTCCTGGGAGTTGTAGTTTTTCCTGGGCTCCGTTCCCGGACTCTCCGGGGACGCGCGGTTGGAAGTTGCACCGTGACGTGGTCAGATCGGATGATAGAATTTTGGTGCGTAACAATTCCAACTTTTGCTTCTGTGCCCTTCAAGTGTATTTTATCTGTGCCCCAGTTTTGCAGATGAGGAGACTCGGACTTGTAAGTAACTTGCTGTAGGTCTTTGCTGGGTCCCAGACTGGATCGAAACCCAGATATTCTGACCCCAAGTACAGGGTTTTTCCACTGCACCTGGCTGCCTCCGCCCTGGCCCCAGATTGGCTCCTCCAGAAACAGACTAGCCTGGCCCTTTGCCCTGCTGGGCCCTCCTGGGAGCGCGCTTTTCACAACATTGGCTGGGGTGAGGGTCTGGAGGGCCCAGAACGGAGCCTGCCTTCTCCTTCTCAGTCACTCTTGGCCCAGGCTGCTCCGGACCGGGCCACTTCCTTGGCCTTCCTGCACCTGACGTGAGAAGAAGCCACGTATCATAGATTCTTTGATCAGTAGTAAGGAGCCTGAGTTTCTGTCTCAGGTCAGCTTGTGTGGCTTTGAATGAGAGGTTCTGGTCTACAGTTTTCACATCTGCATCGTCTAAAGGCAAGGGCACAGACTTTACTGCCTGGTAGACATAGAGCAGGCCCTCCTTTATTGGCAGTGTGACCTTGGGCAAATTACTTGTCTTAATCTCCAATTCCACACCTGTGAAACCCCACCTCCAATGTTGTGGGAACCCAAAAAAATGTATGTAAAGCACCTGTTGCATTGTATGAATCTACTTAATATTACTTTAGGAGGTTGCTCTTGAGGTCTCCTCGGTGACTCCCATTCTCCATGTCACCAAGAGGCCTTGTCTGAGTAGTTTCAACTCCCTACCCAGCTTCTTTCTAAGTCCACTCTGTGCAGGGCAGGGCTGGAATAGCAAGATCAGATGATGTCATGGCATGCCAACGTGACTCTGAATGGCAGTTCATGGCACCCTGAACTGAAAGTGAGGGAACAGGAAAGAAAAGGCTAGCCCAGGGAAACTGAGGAGCACTTCACTCGGACTCCACCTACCCTTCCTTCCCCAGGGAGCTGCCAGGAAACAGTTGTCACACAGCTGGAGTGGGACCCCCAGAGACACTTGGTGGTCACCAGGCAGGTGGGTATTTGAACCACCCAGAGCAGAACAGGCAGCTTCTTGAATATTTCCAGGGCCAATGGCCCTAAAAGGGCTCATCCCAAGATCGAAATAATCACCCGAGTCTGAAATAGCTCTGCCTGTGTCCTATGGAAGTTTCTCCTGGTTTGTGGAGGTGCCTTTCCTTATAGGCATCTTTCTGCAGACGTAAGCAAACCCAGTGTTGTTCTTTTCACAGAAACCTCCCCCGCATTAAGGCAAGAAAGGTGCCTGTTTTTTCCGAAGTGAGCCTGCTTGACTCCTTTGATTTTTCTCTGGGATTCTTCATCCTCCATCAAGTTGATCGAGCCCTCTGGGTCTTGGTCAGTTTCCTGACATCTCTATGAAGTTCAGTGACCCAGACTGAGTCCACGTCTCAAATGAGGTTCTGACTAATGCAGAGTCTAACAGAAAGATTACTGGACATGTCATGCACTATTAATAACCCCTGTTATCAAGGATTTTTTTTTTTTTTTTCACAATAGGAATGAACAGAGTTCTGACTCATTCTAGGTTTGTGGTAAATTGCAGATCACTTTCTGCTTTATTTAGCCGGAGTCCCTGTCATCATCTTTCTCCTTCTCTAAATCTGCCCTCATAATTACCATGTCTTCCCCAAACGTTCTTCAACTGTGAATAGCCCTAAGCACACTCAGAGTGAGTGACAGCTCTCTTATTTGGTGCTGGGGGACACACAAACCCTTGGACAAACAATTGTCACTGTGTGCCAAGAAGCTGAAAAATTCTCCATGCCTCACAGCCATAATTACACTTCTGGTAGCATATTCTAAGGAAGTCATCCCATGTACAGGAAAAGCTGCAATGTGTCAGGATGTTCATTCCAGCAATATTTATAGTAGTGAAAAACTGAAAGCAACCAAATGCCCAAGAAAAAAATTACAGTATATCCACTGGATGGAATAGTATGAAGCCATTTAGGACAGATTATGAAAACCCTGTGGCAGTATGGGGAAATGTTTGCTAAGTTACATGAAAAAATAAGGACACAAAATAGCATAAGATACATTCCCCAGGGATATAGTCAGCAAAGTCTAGAATGAAGAAAATTAAGACAAACACTCAATTCCCTTAACAAATAAAATTGGGGCCAGGTATGGTGACTCACGCCTGTAATCCCAGTACTTTGGGAGGCCAAGGCTTGAGTCCAGGAGTTCGAGACCATCCTAGACAACATGGTAAAACCCCATGTCTACAAAAAATACAAAAATTAGCTGGGCATGGTGGTGTGTCTATAGTTGCAGCTACTCAGGAGGCTGAGGTGGGAGGATCAGTTGAGCCCGGGAGGTCAAGGCTGCAGTGACCTGTGATTGTGCCACTGCATTCTAGTCTGGGCAGCAGAGTGAGACCCTGTCTCAAAAAAAAAAAAAAAAAAAGGAATAAAAAAGAGGGGGAGAGACTTACAAATTAAAATAAATTAAGTGATATCAACTAAAAGTTTTATTTGGATCCTGATTCAAGCAAACTGACTTTAAAAAAAAAAAAAAAAAAAAGGCCGGGCATGGTGGCACATGCCTGTAACCCCAGCACTTTGGGAGGCCAAGGCAGGCGGATCACCTGAGGTCAGGAGTTCGAGACCAGCCTGGCCAACGTGGTGAAACTCTGTCTCTACTAAAACTACAAAAATTAGCTGGATGTGGTGGCGGGCGCCTGTAATCCCAGCTACTCGGGAGGCTGAAGCAAGAGAATCGCTTGAACCTGAGAGGCAGAGTTTGTAGTGAGCCGAGATTGCACCGTTGGCACTCCAGCCTGGGCGACAGAGCAAGGCTCTGTCTCAAAAAAAAAAAAAGATTTTATTAAGTTATCAGGCAAATTTGAATACTGACAAGGTATTCAATGATATTAAAGAATTCTAAATATTTAGGCATGATATGGAATTGTGGTAAGATTGTTTTCTTAATTTAAAAAAGTCCTCCATGGCCTGGTGCGGTGGCTCACGCCTATAATCCCAACACTTTGGGAGGCTGAGCCGGGTGGATCACCTGAGGTCAGGAGTTCGAGACCAGCCTGGCCAACATGGCGAAACCCCACCTTTACTAAAAATACAAAAATTAGCCAGGCGTGGTGGCAGGCACCTGTAATCCCAGCTACTTAGGAGACTGAGGCAGGAGAATCGTTTGAACCTGGGAGGCGGAGGTGGCAGTGAACCGAGATCATGCCATTGCATTCCAGCCTGAGGGACAAGAGGGAGACTTCGTCTCAAAAAAAAAAAAAGAAAGAAAGAAAGAAAGAAATCTTCCTTGGCCCACACCTGTCATCCCAGCACTTTGGGAGGTGAGGCAGGCGGCTCACAAGGTCAGGAGTTTGAGACCAGCCTGGCCAGCATGGTAAAACCGCATCTCTACTAAAAATACAAAAAATTAGTCAGGCGTGGTGGCACATGCCTGTAGTCCCGCTACTCAGGAGGCTGAGGCAGGAGAATTGCTTGAACCTGGGAGGCAGAGGTTGCAGTGAGCCGAGATTATGCCACTGCACTCTGCCTGGGTGACAGAGTGAGACTTTGTCTCAAAAAAAAAAAAAAAAAAAGACCTTCTTTCAGACATACATACTAAAATATCTGTGAATGAAAGATACGGTGATTGCATTTGCTTCAAAATAATCTGGACTGGGAACATTAGGGAAATAATAAGATGGGCCATGAGGTGATAATTGTTGAAGCTGTGTGATGAGGACACGAAGTTCCTTATATTATTTTCTCTACTTTTTTTTTAGACAGAGTCTCACTCTGTCACCCAAGCTGGAGCACAGTGGCACAATCTCGGTGGCTCACTGCAACCTCTGCCTCCCCGGGTGAAGAGATTCTCCTGCCTCAGCCTCCCGAGTAGCTGGGATTACAGGTGCACGCCACTACATCACGGTAATTTTTGTATTTTTAGTTGAGACGGGATTTCACCATGTTGGCCAGGCTGGTTTTGAACTCCTGACCT